CTCCATCTCTTTGGTTTGATATTGAGTGCACTTTGTCAAAAGTTATTTTGCAACATTTGCTATTATGCGCTCGATAACAATTTTATAACATTTTCTTACCCTCCAGTGGCCCCGTGTCACCCCTTCATCCCTGGCCTGCCCCCCTCTGCCATCGCTGAAGAGGCCATTGGCAATTTATTGTGTTACATATATTATAATTGTGTACTGAAAAATGCATTTTTCATGACACAACCAACGACCCGACATCGGCATTGGCATTGGCAGCCCCTCTTTACCCGCCCCACCCCCCCCCAGTGAGTGCTCCGGCCAAACTTTATTTTTTTGGATTGAAAAATTGCATTTTTCCCCGAGGAAACCGCTCCCCTGTGCCTCGCTCTCTCTCTCTCTCTCTCTTTCCCTATCTCTCGTGCGCGCTTTCTCTGTGGCATGCGTAGTTCAATATCCATATACTCTCGTAAATCGTTTGCGACAGTAATTGGAGCACAATGTTAAAGAATGAAATTTTAATTCGATTTTCGATCGGGCATTTCGAGAGTTCCACTCATCGCAGGTCATGAAAACATGCCCAAAAGGGGCTAAGGAATCCTGCTGGAATGATGGGAATGCGCTGGGCATTTATGGCTAAGAAAGGGAAATTTCCACGCCAGGGAATACAGTACATAAATGCATAAATGGAGCTCTTACCAGCAAACTGCATGGAGTATGATCGAGCCTTGGATCAGTCCTCGCGTCAATCGAACTGGCCCCAACGAATCACAAAACGAATAATGCTGATGTACAAGTGATGTACCCAGTAATTAATATATTCATTAAGCTAATGCCTTTTATATTCGATTTGAATAAACCTGAACTGGTAGTTGAATCTAATTTGCAGCCCGTCTTGTCGCTTGGCCCTTCATTGGCTTCGGCCTGTGGCCTTCAGTTTGGCTGTTCTGCTGCCAACGCCTTGTGGCTTCCCTGCCATAACATTGTGTAACCATCAGATGGCAGATGGCATTCCAGGCCAGGTACTACTGTAACCCACATGGCACAGGGCCAGCTGTTGTTGTTGGCAGCCTGTCTGCTGTTGTCCATTGTCTTCAGACTCGACTTGGCCTTGTTTCGGCCACTTGGGTGGGGGTGGCATCGAAGAAAATGACTTAAAGCCGCTCAGCCATTTTCAATTTTCTTTTTATATATTGTTATCCTATACCAAGGCCAGAAGCACATCTAATTAATCACAAATCCCCCAACGGGAGACAGGCACAGAGAGCAGAGCAGAGCCGCCTGGAACATCTATCAATTACGATGTGGGAGTGTTTATCGGACCTGCTTATCGATTAGCAACACACACACATGTGTGTGGTGTGTGTGTGGTGTGTATGTGTGTTGTGCGAATAAAACTGAAAATTTCTATTGAAATTTATAGGAGAACGTGAGTCTTAGGAGTCGGCGTAAGGCAGGCCTATGGGTGGAGGCCTATGCTGGAGAATACACAGATGGGAATAAAGAAGAGCAGGAGATTATCGCCAGGGAGGGGGCATCTATGGGGAAACTCATTTCAAACTCTGGGGGGGGGGACAAAGTCACCCCCTCTACTTCATTCCCCGTTTTTGCTTTCCCTTTCGCCTACCCATCATTATTCAATATGTTGACTTTTGTGCTTTCCGCATTAGTTTCGCCCCCTGCCACATAAGTCAATGCGGCTCGGTGTGGAGGGGAGGCTGGCAGCAGAGTCTGGCTGTGGGGCAGGCATGCAAAAGACAATGAAAAATTTGTTCAAGTGGCTTACACAGTACAAACCCCCAAGCCCCAACCGACACCCACCCACCCATCCAACCAACCAACCAGTGGGCGCGTCGATGTGGAAAGTGTGATAGTAAACGGATGGAGGTTGTCCTCCTGCCCCATACTTTTTTTTTACATCTCTTTTCCTTCTCCTCGCATGCCTCACTTCATAATGTACCATGACACCGGCCAAGTTGTTTCATTTTGCATTTTTCATGCTCAGAGCAATGGTCGCCGGTGCTGGCTGTGTGCCGCCTGAAACTGCTCCTATTCAACGCACCCTTCGAAGACAACCACCAAGGATCAATCTGCTCTGTTCTCTGCTCACCCACGCAAATATTTCTTAGATTTAAAATTAAATTTCTGCCACACAACATCCCCACATTTCTGAGGGAAAACTTGCAGCAAAAGCTTCTCCCTTTAAGTGGATAATTGGTGGCCTGCGTTGAGCTTAATTTAATTTAATTTCTCTCAATAAATCAGCTCCTAAGACACCGCAAAAGCCCACTATCGTTTGAGTAGTCGATCCTGGCAGGACCACCTTTTCGGCAAGCCTTTCGCCTCTTAAATCATAATCTTCTGCACTTGGCAACTATCATTAATTGCGGGCATGGATTAGACTTGTGTTTGCCAGCGATGAAGCAATTAAAATGTATGAAATTAAAAACAAATAAAAGCTACGAGAAATTTAATTATGCAAACACAATGTAGCCGGTTCCTTTGCTGTAGCCATGACGGCAAATCCCGGAAAATAGGCAACAAAAACAGAAAATGTAAAGAGAAAGTTTCCTTCTGTATTTATTTTGCGTTGAGCGCTTTTAATTTTGCCGCAGCCACAGGAATCAATAAAACGACCGCAGATGAATAACGATTTGCCATGGCGCAACATCACAGTCAGTCCATGTGGCAACATAATTGATGCGAAACATGCATAATATATTAATTTTCCAGGCGGCAAGCAACAAATGAACTTGCCCCAGAGATTTAATTTCCACCCAGCCCCCCCACCAGCCCAGCACAGTTCTCTCTCGTTTTGTAAATTTAATTTTTTTTTTTAATTCAACTCGCCCACCCGCCCACTCGATTCCTGTTGCTGTTTTGTGGCAAACCAGCAACATTTTTCGTATGCACAACCCAGCAATGATTTCATTTGTATCTGTATCTGCAGTGGGCAGTGTGCAGGGCGCTGGCTCTCAGATAGTTTGGCATTGTTGCGGTAAATTGGTAAAATTTGCATACCATTGGCATTTATTGTTTATGCATTGCTGCCATCATCATTCCCATCATCATCATCATCAACATTCTGGCTGGTCGCCATTTAAATTGTGCCAATTACATTTTCTGGTTTTTCTATACGCAGCCACCCACCCAACCCCATACGCGCGCCCCGCGACCCTTCGCTCAGGTGTAGTCGTTGCTTTTATTTTAATTGGTATTGGGGGGGGAGGGAAAATTAGCAAAAAGCTCTTGTAATTGCTTGGATATATATGTATATTCCACTGTATAGCGTTGTGGCCATGCCCCATGATTACCCTGATCGCACTTGTGCACTAATTAAGAAGAAACAGAACAGAAAAAATTTCAAGTTTGTAAGCTGCATACCCTCGAACAGGGTATATTCCCAATGAGCAGAAGCACAGGCAAGCGTCTCGTCTTGAACTTCATAAAGTATATGCCGGGGAATGCAAAATAAAGTGTGGGATAAAGTAAAGTAAAGATAGATAGATATGTGCATATACATATACATACATATACATATGTATGTATGTATGTATATATGCTGGTATGTTTTGAACGATGAAACTTTGCTCTAATTTCCCACTTTTAAGCTCATTCACTGCCGTCTTAATAATTGGCTTGTGATACATATATGTACAATGTATGTATGTTTGTATGTATGTATGTATGTATGTATGTGCATACTCATAGTTTGTCGCTTGCATAATGACAGCTGTGTTACATGTTACATGTCATAAGCTGCACAGACAACAGAACGGATAACAACAACAGTCAATAGACTGGAGAGAGAGAGAGAGAGAGAGAGAGAGAGAGAGACTCCCCACATATTGATGATGTGCGTCAAATGCTGTCCTTGCTGTTGGGTCACAATGCCTCCTGCCGCCTGTCCTCCGATTTGGCCTATGTGGCGGCCTCCCTTGCCATCCCCTGCTGTCTCATCCCCTTTGTGCTGCTGTGCCACTGCTGCTACAGCCTCTGCCTTTGCCTCTTCCTGCTGTTGTTGCTGCTGCTGCTGTGTCACTTGTCGTTGCCTCAGTTTGTTAGTTTGTCCATCCAGCGGGCTTCGGTGCGGTTCGGCTCCTTCATTTACGTCTGTGTATTTGTTGCCGCTTGTTTGACAAATTGATCGCGTGATATGTTTGCCCAATGCTGCCAATGTTTGTGTTGCTGTTGTTGTTTTGGTTGCGTGTTCAGTGGCATGTTCAGTGGCAGAGGCGATGCACCGTTACATGGGCCACCATTTTGGTGGGACTTGCCAATGGATAAATCCTTGTTACGGACACAAAGTAGCACCCGTTGCACAATTTTTGTCAGTGACTTTGACTTTGGGGCCACCTCTTTCGCCAACCCACACCCACTGTCCACAGTCCACAGTGCACAGTGCACAGCAACGTAACCAGTTATGAGTGCCCAGCAGACGGGGAAGAGTGGGGTGTGGGGCGCAACGCCGACTCGTTAAAATCTACGTCAGCTTTGCTACTAATTTTGTGTGCACACACACACATGCAGGGGACACAGTGTGTGTGTGTGTGTGTGTGTGTGGAGTCCAAGTGGCACAATCCCCTCTTGCTTTCCCCCTTCATCCCAGTGTTCTTTCGCTTTCTGTTTGCTGTGCACTCCAAACACTGCAGACAAAATTCTGTCGAAATTTTCTTGTCGACTGATGTCTCTATCCAGTCCGTTTTCCCCCACTGCTCTGTTTCACAGTTAATCCGACCAGCGTTATGCAACAAGGTTCTCAGTGAGGTTGTGGTGTGTGTGTGTGTGGGTGTGTGTGGGTGTGGGTGTGTGTGTGGAAAATTAATTAATTTCATGTGCAAACAATTGTAGAATCTCCCCCCTCCCGCCACGTGCCACTCGTTTTTTTTTCTCATTCTTTTAGCCTCGAAAAAGATAAAGGTTTAACTTGGTTGCTGGGGCATCACTTTAATTGGCTTATGGCATTTGCCAACCAGTTACCCAAGCTCTAATCACAATACATTTTCCATTTACAGATCCACATCCACATGTGCCAATTGCGTGAGAGCTGAGGGGAAAAGCAACTCCAAGGACGGTAGGAGGAATATATCGCATTGCCGAAAACAGGAGAAATCCATACAAAACACACACACACACAATTCCTGGGATAAGTGATGAAGTCATGAGACCGACATTCGATCGACGCCTCTGGATATTATTGTTCATTATTTCAGTACAATGTAAGTATACGAAAAACTTCTGCACCACCTTCAATGTATGTATGTGTTTGTGTGTGGTGGGTGTTGGGGGTGGGGGTGTTGGAGGAAATGCCATAGAAATGAATGGCCCAAGTGGCCTTTGGAGGGCAAGCAGCTCGTATTTTACTGGGGAAAGAATGGGGGCCAGCCAGCCACTTTGTATGCCGGCAGCGTGTGAAAAATAGTTCACAGATAATCGCAGTCAGGCAGGTCACATTATTTATGCGCCGGCACACACACCACACACATGCCTTGGGTGCCTCCCCCCCAACCCATCTTGATATTCTATGCCACATGCAGCAAACAAAGCCATTTCTTTTTGGCTAAAAACAGGGTCTGCATATCAATGGCAATGGTCTGTAAATAAGCAGGAGCAGGACCGTGGCAAAGGACCCTCTTCGCACCCGTCTAATCCGTGAGTAATATGCGATTGTCAATGTCTATTAGGTACATGCGGCGTATGAGTAATATGCCAGCGAGTCTTCGGATTTATTATACGAGTATGTATACATTTATGCGCCGTGTGCTGCTGCGGTACTTCACTTCATGTGTCTCTGAACAATCGCTGGAATTGGAGTAAGCTTTTGCAGCCATTTCCATTGGACATTTCCTCGTCACTCGGGAGGGTCACTTGAAGGTTGCACTCCAAACAGACACACGGACAGAAAACCAGCAGCAGGCCACCAATGCGTGCAACGACTGTCGGGCGGCAACACGAGTCGGAAAGAAAATGCCACAGAAGGGAAACTGAAACGGAAACGGAAATGCGCGCTCAAGAATTTTAATCTGAATGCGAAATTTCGCGTGTGATGTGAGCTGTATGCCAAAAAATGGGGCGACACACACACACACACACATGGGGGGGGGCATGTAAGCGCGCGCGGCATGCCCCACTGCGGTGCTCCTTGGAATTTCACGCGTTTATTTGCAAAGATTACGAAATGCGACCGCTGGTTGCCGGTTGCCGGTTGCCAGTTGCCGGCTGCCGCTCGCTTGCTAAAGTTTTTGTATGCGTTTCCTGCGAGCTGCCGGCACTGTCGGCGCTGCCTTTTTCCGGCTCTCCCTCCCTCCTCCCATGACCCATCTCGCCATCTTCGTGCCACCCTTCTGTATGTGTGTGTGTGTGTGTGTGTTTTTTTTTGCCCCTGTTTGTTTGTCCGTCCGTCCGCTGACTTGTTATGCATGCAAAAGTCTGTGGCAAATACACAAACCGAACCAAGGGGGCGCTCCTCCACGTTTGCTGCTGCTTCAACCACGTTTGCCGTCTGCCCGATTCCACGCAGATGGAAGTGACATGCAAAATATTTTTGCATAAAAATGTTTGCGCCCCCACACAGAGGGGAGGGTGTAGTTATTCCTTGCCACATTCTGGCAGCTGCATCTACCCCTTGCCTTCTGCTTGCAGGAGACAAAAAGATGAACAAAATTGTTCAGTTTTAAAGCCATTCAATTTTCGTATTTTTGACACATGCAAATCGAGCGTGAAATTTTTCAGATAAATATACGATGGCGCAGCACTACCGATGGAAATTTGTTGCCAGCATTCCTGGGCAGTTCCTTTACCTGCACTTTCACTCCGCTCAGAAGCAGAGCTCGGGGCTAAGTGTCCGGCATTTTATCTCATGTATTTAAGCGTTGAGCGTTTGCTACGTGCCGCAAATGCTAAGCAGTGCTGCTCTGTCTTTCGGCTCTGTCCATGGCATTGCGTGTAATTCAAGGCGACAGCGAACATCATCATCGGCAGGAGCAGGAGCAGGAGCATATTTCATATTTAATAAAGTGGTGCTTTGGGTCCTCTTTATTGGGCGTTCCCTCTACCCATGAAATCAAAAGATGATCTCCCTTGGCCCATTCGTGGGACTATAAACGTCTCTCTGTTCTGCTTTTGTTGGCAATAACTTGTATATGACAATGCTTTAGGATCTTTCCTCAAACTCTGACATCATTTATGCCCTTCAGAAAGGTGATGTTGCGGCTCTATTTTGGATTTTCTCTTTGCAGCACACAGAAGTCCCAACCAAATCTTCTTCTGGTGGATTTCTGTGTGGCAATAGTGGCAGTTAAAGTTACTGTAAATTCAAGAACACGAATAACCGCATCCGCAGCTCGACAAAAGGCGGAGGCAACGTCGCTGTCTGCGCTCGTAGATGGCCCTCAAGTCGACCACTTGGTGGAAAACTGCAACGATGATGATGGGCATGGGTCTGGGTCTGTGCCCGAGAGTCTGTGACTTAGTTAGCCACTTTTCTTTCATATAAAATGCGGCTTTTGTGCCTCAAGTGGGCGCGCCCCCGACTTTTGTCTACACGCTAACCAACTGCGGCGCCTGCCCCATGCCCGGAAAAAAAGGGTGGAAGAGGAAAAATATTGGTGCTGGCTGCCAGTTTATTTTAAGAGTCGACTTTTGTGCGCTCAAGTTTACTTTTGTGGAGGGATTACTTTTCGGTTATTTTTGTGGGCCAGTCATCGCCTTTTTCCGCCCCCACCAACGAAAGCATTCAGCATCAGTATCCATCCGCTCTCAGTCTACAGTCTCTCTCTAGTGTTGATGCACAACCTGCATTGGCAGTGGCAGTGGCAGTGGCACTGGTCGAGGCAGCATGAGCAGATCTTTGGGATGAGAATCGTCTCTGAACGGAGTTTATTATGTCCGCCAGTTTGGAAGTCGATGCTGATGTTGCTGCTGCTGCTACTCCTTCTCGGTCGAAATGCAATTATTAAAACTTTTTCAAGTTGCTCTCTCTTTCTCTCGGGCTTTTGTCCTGAACTGAAAATTATAGCCGGCGCGGCGCCACTTCGCTGTCCATAGTTCTGCCTCTCCCTCTCTCTCTCTCTCTATCTCTCCTCCTTGGCCCCTCATCCTCTGCTGTTCTTGGCCTTATTCTTTTTTCTTCTTTTGCTGTTTAACATGGCATAGCAAATGTAGTCCATTGAAAAGTTATCCTGGCCAAAGTTCTACTCAAAGTTTTCGCTTAAAGATGTGCCACGAGTTTTTGGTAAATTGAAAAATGTTGCCACTGCTTTAACAGTGGGTTTGTTTAAGCCGGAAATGTGCAAGGCATACGGTAGAGCGGCAGAGCGGAGAGCGGCGGAGACCGAGCCCCAAATACACGAAAGGCGGAAACGCAGCTAACAATAAAAGCCAAAAGGGGCATAAAACTGGCACTTCCGTTTAGAATTTCGCAACAACAATTTTCAACCTCCTTTTGGGGGGCTCCTTCCTGCTGCCATGTGGTCAACACATAACAGACGCTGGCGGCAGTAGCCCCGGGGCCAGGACAGGAGCAGGGCAGGGCAGGACCCCTTCCTCTGCCTATGCCACAGACCGACAAAAATTGGCCGCACACTAAATTGCACACCTGGGAATTAATGCGGCGGGCACTCGAAAGGCGTTTTCCCCAAGTTGAATTGCACGTGGAAGAGGAAAAGTAGAAAAGTGGATAGTGGATAAAGTGTGCAGGCAGGCAACAAACTAGCAAAAGGTGTGAAGGCCAACAGTGTGAAAGAAACAGCCTGCTGTTGTTGCTGCTGCTGCTGCTGTTGCTCCTGCTGCAAGTTGCAAAGTAAAAGTCAAATGCCTTTTCACACGGAGATGGAGAGCGCGCCCCATTGAAATAACGCCGCCTGCAGGCCGGCTCTTCCTTTAGCCCAAAGCAAAACAAAAAAAAAGTCAAAAGTAAAATTACACTCAAACATGACAAACAGTGGGCTTGTGTAGTTTGTGCACGGCTACAGCTACACTTTCACACAAACAAAATAAAACAAACGCAAACACAATCCACAATCCAAAGAGAGCAAGAGAAAACAAAGACACATGCCAAACTGCTCTCAATAGATTTTGCGCACCAAGCAAAGACTCTCTCTCTCTCTCGCTTTTATGCTCGCTGCGCTCGCTGATCACATTGCGTGCGCTTGCGCTTATCTCTTAGTCACAACAACAACAACGAGCAGGTAGCGCAGCTTTTGTTCGAGTGTTCGAGTTCGATCAAATGTGAGAATGCTGCTTGTTGCTATTGTAAAACAGATTGCATCAACGGAGAAAACAAAAAAGAAGTCTTCGGGTGATCAGAAAATCGAATGGACTACCTTCTTTGTTGCTCTTTTTGTTTTTTTTTTTGTATTTCAGTGTGCAAATTTCATGCCTATTTTGCAATTACTGTGTGCACTCTGATTGCTGTGCACTGACTTTCTGGACCAACTGTGGACACACACACACACACAGTGTTGGCTTCTTATTTGGGATTTTTCTTTGGTCTTTCTTTGCTCCTGTGCTACCCCCCGGCCAACGGGCTGGACTGGCGTCGTTTCATTCTTTTCTCTACTTTCGTAAAAGCAACCGAAAATAAATTAAGTGGAAGTAAGTCGCAACGAAGTGATACATAATTCCTTTTTTTTTTTTTTTTTTTTTTCGTTTGCCTTCACTTTTCGTGTGTCCTTTTCGAGGCAGGAAAATCGCTTTGCTGTTATCTGGTGGTGTTGGCCTTTTTGGGGGGATGTTAATTAGTCGCCGTCCGCTCTGAGATGCCGATTATTAGCCGTAGGCCGAAAATTCAGACATAAATCAATGCGAAACTTTAATTGAACTTTCCTTAGTTGGCTCTCTTTTGAGACCTTTGAAACTTGATCCCGCCCCACCAAAAGAGATAGAGAGAGAGAGAGAGCTCCAGAGACAGGAAAATTTTCACCCCAACTAAAAGGTAACTTAATATACCGTAATTTGGCTTTAATGACCAGGCTAAGAGGGAAGGGGGGGGAGTCCACTTGGCGCCTAAATAGCCTAAATAACTTAATATCAACCTGAAACGCCGTGATTGAGACGAGGACTGCGACGAGGACTGCTCCTGGGCTGGGCCTGGGCGGCTGGCTGGTGGCTGCCTTTTTCCAGCTTATTGCTACTTAACTAAGCCAACGATATCATTTTATTACAAACGAGGCCAGCAGCACCGGAGGAGGCTGCCAACTTGCCAACGGCTTTCAGCGGGGAATTTCACTTTCAACGGAGCTCCAGCTTTAAGAGCATCGCGCGCGCGACCCCCCCACCCGCTCCTTAGAGCGCTTACTCTGGTTTCTCTCTCTCAGCTCTCTGTACACTGCTCTCCATCCAGTCGTCCAGCCAGACTCTCAGAGGCCATTAACGTGTTTCGTTTCATTTAACTTTTACGCTCTGCTTCCCCCCCCCCACTGTGCGCCAAGAATCCCACTGGTCCTGCGTCCTGTGTCCTGGGTCCTGCGTCCACGCTGCGCGCTGCTATTTAGCACCGGGACCGTCATGTCCCGCCCCATACCCTCACTCGTAACTGTGGCACACGAAACTTTTACCTGCTGCACGCTTGACCCAACAAAGGGACAGCAACAGCGACAGGGGAATGGAATGGGTGACTGCCAGTGGCAGTGGCAGTGGCAGAGTAGGAGTCTGTAGCCTGGGTACGTGGGAGTGGGTGACCTTCGCCGCTGACAGCAGCCGTCATTAACCTTTCATGATGAGGGAGAGAGAGAGAGAGCCCCCGGAGAACGGGAACAAGCACAAACAGGTGGAAAGTACGGGCGGGGAGGGGGGTTCCTCCGCTTCTTTGGAAATCAGCAGCCATCGGAAGTTGGGACAACAGAAATGAAGCCAAAACTTTCTCAAGTGCTTCGAGACGATGTAACATCCCCCCCCATGACAGGGATCTCTGGTTGTTGTTTAGCTGAACTTTTGACTGCTGTTGGGGCTCCCCTGACTGTGGCCGGCACCGACTACACCGACTAGCTGTGAGGTGGGGGCGCAAAAATGTATTTTAGGTAATTTGGCTTTAATGCGTCTGCTGGCACTGTGACAGTTTTCAGTTAGTGCATTGACCCAGTTTTTTCTCGCTCTCTCTCGCTCTCTCACTCTCTTTCTCCCGCTGTGGATTGCACAGGATTTTTGTTGAACAAACCGCAGGCCGCAGCGGCATATAATTTTTGGCAACCAGAGCTGTGTCTGTGTCCTGTGTTTCCTGGTCCTGTGGATGTGGATGTGGTCTCGTGGCTGCGGTGCCGCCTTTTTTGTGTGTGTGTGTGTGTGTAATATTTGCCATTAGACAAAACGGAAAGGAGTGAAAATTGAGGTCAGAACGGGGCCACCTTTGCACTCGATTCATAAGCTGAACCACAACCTTGAGGCTGCGCTTTAATGTGGCAAAGCTTAAGAGCTTGCCACACCTCCCCCTTCCGCCCCTCTACAAATACGAACATAATATGCAGTGAGAGCCCCAAGGCCGTACATCCTGCACTTAGGATTGCATTCGGATGCATTTCTTGGCGTAAAATCAATAACCAAGTCGGCGGGCTCCAGGGGGGAAAAGGCAGCCATGATGACAATGTATTTAAGTGTTGGGTGTGGAGGGCGAGAAGGCAGCGGGCCAAAGTAGACACAACTGTCGCTACATACTCATAAACGTAATCATGATGAAGCACAGCGACTGGTACGACTACACAATGTCGACTGACTGCCCTCGAGTGTTTTATCCTTGACAAATCCTTGTGCAACAATCAGTCGCAACAGCAGCAAATGGAAAAAATCCCCACAGACAGAGAGAGAGAGAGAAGATGGAGAGAGGCATGAGAGAGAATAGAGGCAGTGCAGTGAAAGAAAGGCAATGTCAAATGCGCAGCAGAATGTCTAAATGAGTGCCAGGACCGGGACCAGGATCTGGAATGGGATTCAGTGAATGAGCCAAACTCTCTTCCCGAGTCCCCCCCCCCCAATGCTTTCTAGGTGGCAGTGACAATGGTGACCACAAATCGCTGGGCTTTAAGACAGAACCGGGGAGTGGGGACCCACCTTCGGGGCATTTGGGGGCCGGGGCGCCCTTGCCTTGTCCAACCCTCGTGATGGATGACAATAAACCAGACAAGCGGTGACGACAATTGTTTGCTGCCAGTCGTTCGCTTTCTCTCTCCTTCTGTCTCTCTCTCTCTCTCTCTATCGCTCTCTTCCCATCATTATCCCGCGTGGTGGGATGGCAGTGCCTGATGGAGCCAGCTGGGGCCTGACTTTTTCCAGCATTGCATTCAACTTGAATGATTAAAGTTATGCTTTAAATTGTGCAAAATATTTATTTGGGCGACTTTTTAAGTTAATGGAATTTATTTAGTGTATAAATATTATTATATAAAGGGGAGAGTGCGATTGCCTGCTAATTTAGTTGCTGCTTGAGCTTCTACGATCAGTTTTTGGGGTTAGTTTTCTTTTCTCAGCTTCTGTTAACTGCTTTGCGCTGCTTTGTGCACTGCTTTGCCCACTCATGCTGCTTGAACTGACTGCTTGTGCCTTATTTAAACTGCTTTGCCTTTTCCCAATCTTTTGTGCTAATTTGTGCTTCTGATTTACTGATACTTCCCATTTACGGTACTCTTTGCTCTCCCGTACACTGCTTTCTTTCTGCCCTTTCTGCTCTGCTAATCTTCATGATCCTCCTGCCGGGGCTCCTTATCCTTTTTCTCTACATCGGGGTCATTCATTGTCATAACGGCATTGGCTGCACATTTAATGTTCTGTGATGCCTCTTCATCGTCCAGCCTTTGGTCGCGTGCGGCCAATAATTTTTTGAATATTTTCATCTGCTCGTGGGTGACGCAGGCCACCTTCACGCCGCTTATCATGCAGCTCAAGAGGCTCTCCATGGCATTCCAGTCCACCGGCTGTCTAATTTCATTGGATGGCGCTGCTGCCCTTTCGACGATCTCGCACTTGGGCTGTTGTTGTTGTTGCTGGTTGGCCCCCGCCGTCGCACAGACAGGACCTTGAGAATCTTTGGCCTTTTTGTGTACGGCACAGGGCTCCTGCCTTGCAGGGTTTTGCTCCTCATCCTTGTTGCAGGAGCTCTCCTTTGAAGCCTTGGACTCTGTCTTCCCGCAGGAGCTCTCATTCGATGCCTTGGGCTCTTTTTCGCCGCAGGAGTTCTCCTTTGAAGCCTTTTCCTCCTTCAATTTGGCACAATAGTTCAGGGGCTTCGGAGCCTCTTTCTTCGCCTTCTTTTTCTGCATCTCCTGGATATGCTTGCGCCTCCTGTCCAGCCTCGTACTGCAGGCCTTTGGCTTGGCATCGCCTGCGCAGCCTGCTGCTTTCTGCTGCTCTTTGGGTTTTTCCTTGGACTTGCCGGGGCCACAACTCGCGTCAGACTTCTGGCTGAACGCCTTCTGAAGCTGCAGCAAGTGCGATCGGGGGTCCAGCAGCATCAAGTGCCTCCATCTGAGTAGCTGCAGCTGTGGCAGTAGCGGGCGCACGATGCGACCTCCCAACATTGTAAAATTTTTGACAATAATTCAGAATAATTTCTATTAAAAGTTTGGCCGAAAGATGGAAACGTTTTACGCAGCGGCTACTACAACATTTCGTTCACTGCCTCGAAGATTCCTCCGCTGAGATTTTCACAGACAATCAAATGAACATTTACCCACATGCGGCAGGTGGCTGGTGCCAGGTGGCATGCGGCCCCATTAAAACATAACCGTGTCAAACACCTGCCCTGGCTCAAAAATTAACAGCTACAATGCTAAAACAAGTTGCACACAAATTAATGACAACATGAAGGAATTTGAATATAAAATGTAACAACTCCTCCACCACCACAGCACACACACCCGCCCACTCGTAATTGCGGCGCAAGTTTGTCAGCGACTGTATGTGGACAGAGAGAGAGTGGAGTGGAGTGGAAGTGGGTGGTGAGCGGTGCGGTGCGGTGCGGTGGCAACTCTACTGCCGTCTCTCAACGCCTGCTGTCTGCTGTTGTCTGCTTGGCGGCGCATGAAGTGAAAATTAATTTCTAAATGCGGGAAATTAACAAATTACAAACAACGGAATGACGATGGTCGTGTGGGGGGGGGGCAGGAGGCAGGCGGAAGGCAGACATGCCATAATTTACCACACACACAGACACACATCCCTCCCCACACACACACACACACACACATGGCTCCTTGTGGCACTCTGAAAGGCACTCGGAGGCACATTCATGACGAGGCCAAAGTTCGTACAGCAACTTCGTCAAGGGGGCTGAGGCTGGGGCTGGGCTGGAGCTGGTGTCGGCTGAGCGGCAAGGTGTTGAAGCACAGGTGAGAGACGACGCATTGTCTTGTGGCAGTTCCTAGCCCCCCCCGAGCCCTCTTCCCACCACCTGACAGTTGACAGGTTTGCTAATTTCCACCCTCACCTTGCCACGCCACCTACCAAAAATGGAAGTTAGCGTGTGGCAGGGCCTGTCAGCATCCTGCTGGGTGATAAGAGTACTTGCACCTCACACCTCCAGTGAGAGTGCCACACACAGTCAAGTCCCCCTACCTCACCTTCTCACTGCCATCCCCTTCACACCTTTGGCCTGCCACAGAAGCGCTGCGGTCGCGCTTTTAACATTTAATTAAGTTGTTGCTCCATTTTATGTTCGACAAAATGCTAGCGATGCCACCTGCCAACCTGCCACCTGCCTCCACTCAGCACACGCCTCACGTGTGTCGCGTTTGTGGCTTGTGCAGCGCGTCGTTTGCTTTCGTTTGTTTGTCATTCCTGCGGCTTTCAGTATTCCGAGTGCAAAGATTGAAACGATTGAAAACTTTGCGTCATTCCGCCTACGAAAAATCTGTCAAAATTTGTATGTATATATGTATAGATGTATAGATATCTGCCATCAAAATTGGAATAAACGCACTGAGACGCAGCAGCAGCACACGAGCATGCGAAGTATGAGCGGCCTCCTGCGGGACACCACGCGGGCATGTTCCTTGAAGAACTACTGCAAGAAGACCGAGAAGGACATCGGTAAGCTACGCAAGGAAATGGACCAGAACGCCGAGCGGCGCCAAGAGGCCAAGGCAGCCGAGGAGGCCGCCAAGGATGCGGCCATGCTAAGGACTAGGGTGGACAAGTGCATAGCCGAGAAGACGAAGGTGCTGCAGCAGAGCATCGAGTCGGAGGCCAATAAGCAGCAACAGGACACCCTGAGCACCATGATGAGCTGCCTGATGACGGGCATACGGCGGATCTGCCGGGACAGTGTGATGGGCGCCTTCTGCAGGGCCAAGACGCAGGCGGGCGAGAATAAGATCAGGAAAATGCTGAAGAAGTGCGCCGAAAAGTGCGCCAAAGGGGGAAGGCCCGTTGTAGTGCCGGCCAAAAGCAAGGAGAAGCAGCCAAGGCGCAACCGATACACGGAGAAGCTCGAGCAGTGCATGGCCCGTGAGTGGAGGGATGTGTGCGAGTCCAGCAAGAATTTCAGCCCGGAGGAGAAGGCGGAGATGGTGCGCATGCACCAATGCCTGTCCGATCAAATCAAGCAGAGCTGCCGCCGGAAGGTCATCAAGGAGATGTGCATCGAGGCGGGCATGGAGCATCCCAGGGATAAGGCCAAGGCTAGGAAAGCCTGCCGCCAGAAAAAGGCCAAAAAAACAGCAGCCCAGAAGCAGAAAACAGCAAAAGGCAATGCCAAAGCCAAGCAATCAGAAGGATGCTCGAGTCCTGAGGTGGAAAAGTGTGTGGACGCCAAGCTGCAGAGTGTTCAGAGCTTCATAAAGTCCTTGAGCGAGAACGATAATGCCAGTCTCGAGGACGTATGCGGCTGTGCCAGGATCATGCTGAGAAAAAAGTGCGAGGCAGAGATGCAGCAAAGGAAATGCGCCCAACAGGAGGCAGCGAAGTGCCGAGCAAACGCTGAGAGAGCGGAGGAAAAGTGCCACCCCAAGGAGAAGGGAGGCGCAGGAGGAGCCGCAACTGTTGTCGATCAGGAATTGTTGCAGAAATTCCGCGAATGTCTGTTCAAAAAGGTGGGCGGACCGCACGACATTCAGCCGGGCCGCAAGGTGACAATTGTGGGCGCCGGCGCCGTGGGCATGGGCTGTGCCATGGCCCTGCTCTGCAAGGGCGTCACCAATCACATGGCCCTCTTCGACGCGAAGCAGGATTGGATGGCGGCCGAGCGTCTCGATCTGTTGCACGGTTCGCTGTTCGTCAACAATCCGCTAATCGAGCAGTGCACGGGCATGGAGGCCACCAAGGACTCGCGTGTGGTGGTGGTAACGGCCGGGGCCCGGCCCACGGGCAACGAGACGCGCCTGGATGTCGCCCAGAAGACGGCGGATATTGTCAGGGAGGTGATGCCAGCGCTGCTGGAGCAGAGTCCCAAGGCCACCTTCATCATTGTCTCCAATCCCGCCGATGTGATGGCCTGGGTGGCCCGCAAGGTGACCAATCTGCCGTACGAGCGTTGCCTGAGCACCGGCTGCCACCTGGACACGGCTCGCTTTCGGCTGTTCATCGGCCAGCTGCTGGGCATTGCCACGCGCTCCGTTCACGGCTTTGTGGTTGGGGAGCATGGCGGCAGTTCGGTGCCGCTGTGGTCAACGGTCAGCGTGGGTGGTGTGCGCCTGCAGGAGATCCTGCCCGTCATTGGCACGGCGCGGGATCCCATGTACTGGTCGACGGTGCACAAGGATGTGGTGGAGGCGGCCTTCAAGGTGATTGCCGACAAGGGCTACACCAACTGGGCCATTGGCCTCACCGTCGCCGATATCGTTGCGGCGATATTCGAGGACAGCAATCGGGTGCTGTCGCTGTCCACCAATGTCCAGGGCATCTGCGGCATCACGGATGAGGTGTTCATGTCCATGCCCTGCGTCGTTTGCGCCCACGGCATCGGGGCCATTGTGCGGCCCCATCTCAGCGACTGGGAGAAGCAGCAGCTGCAGAAATCCGTAAAGGTCCTGCTGCAGGCACAGAGCGGCATCAAAATTTAATTTAATTTGTATTCCCCCCCAGCCCAGGCAGCCCTGAGAACTCAGTCAAGTGCGTGACTTCATTTTTTAAATTTAACTTTCAGTTTTATTTTTTAGTTTCTAAAATTAAAATTTCCCGTTACTTGCCCCCCGCACGTTAATTTGGGTGGTGGTTTTTTTTTTGATTTTGGAATTTTTAATTCGATCCCCTACGCTAGTTGGTGGCAAATGTTGCACACGGGATGTGCCGCAATCGTCTAAGCCTGCAGCTACAGCGATTCCTAGGTAGATTCAGAAGTTTGCCCAGCATCTGCCAGGATCCCACGCCGCCAGCCCCCTGGCAGCGCTTGAAGTCGGCGGAGCTGCGATCCAGAATGCCGTCGATCAGCGAACGGGAACTGGAACCGCCCATGGCCTGTGACATTCTCAACAGCGAACTGAACAAGGCGCAGAGGCGGCTAAGGACGTGGCATGGCCTTGTGGCCGGGCCACCAGCTGAGGCCGAGGCCGAGATCAGTGGCAGGCTTCGTTGCTACCCCAAGGTGCCGCCGACCAACTGCTGCCTGCGAAAGCGCAACGAAGGACTCTGCCTCAAGATGAGGGTCCTGGATAAGAGCGCACTGTGGTTCAAGGAGCCAAACGCTGCCCAAGGAGCAAGCTGCACGGCAGAGGCAGCCAAGCAGGTGCCAGGGCAGCTGGAGAAGGTTCCCAAGTATGGGTGCAAGGATTTCGTCTGCATTCTGGAGGATAGCATAAAGCCAGAGCTCACCCCGAAGCCCTTGACTAAACAGAAAGCCGAACCGGAAGCGGCAGCATCAGCAGCTGCCATCTGCCTTCCAGCTCCAAGTCCATGCTGCAAAGTAGCTGCTCCGTCCACATCAGAGGGCAGAGGCAGATCCAGCAACGTGGCGATGAGGGAACGCGAGGAGCAGCTGTTCGAAAGTATCAAGAGGGAGACTACCAGCCACTGGAGCCAGCACAAGGAGCGAAGGCCCAGCAGGCAGTTCGAGGAGGATTTCGACCATCTGCGGCGGTGGCAGAAGAACCAAAGCCCCGCCTGGATATTCCCAATTAATCAGATGCAGCAGCAGCAGGAGCAGCAGCAGCAGGAGCAGCAGGAGAAGGGATTGCAAAAGGTCAGACGAAAGCAGGAGCGAAAGCTGCCACAGGGATGCGAGGCCAAGCTACAGGATCATCTCTCTGTCACCAGGGAGGATGGCAGAGCCGCACAGACGAAGACTCAGGGTGCATTACGGCCAGGAATTAGCTGCCAGGAGCTGAAGGAAATCTACATGTGCACGGCAAAGGCCAGGCCAGGCCAGCAGAAGGCAAAGGAAAACCAAGGAAAATGCTCACCGGCTTCAACTCGCAGGCAGCAGCAGCAGACGCAGAAGAAAGCCACGGCAGACATCTGCACGGACACTGAAAAGCAAAAGGCACACGAAATCCGCATGCTGGAGAAAAGGGGCAAGGATATACCAGAGGAGCAGGCGCCCCAGCGAGTCCGCAGCGAGGAGCAGCGGCCGCTACGAGAGCTGGAGAGGATGTCCAAGAGCATAAGCCTGCGCGAGCTGCAGATGATCCTGGAAACGAAGAACAAAGCCAAGGGAACAAAGTGTGCAAGGAAAGGGAAGAAGGCACTGGGGATTAGGGAGAAACAGGCGCTGGCGGAACGAGATGAAAATCGAGGAATTGAAAGCGACTCCGACGGCCTTGCGCTGCAGCAGATCGAGGAAATTTCCAAGCTGTGCGCCGCCCTGAAGGAAAAGTACGAGAAGCGGAAGGAGAAAGCGCATCGAAAGGAACACCAGAGGGAAGGAAGAGGCGGAGGAGGCGGCGCATCTCCGCAGGAAGTGCAGGGAAGGGGCAGTGCAAGCAGAGGCCGATCTGAGAAAGCAGAGAGATGAGGCAGGCCAAAGGAGGCGCCTGCTCTCCGATCTGAAGCAAACGCGCAGGGATATTGCAGCCAAACAGCAGCTGTTGCAGGTCAAATCCGTGGAAAGGTCAGTGGGGGAGAGGCCAAGTGGCGAGAGGGAGAACGGAAAGCAGAGGCAGCCTGAGGACAAACCGAAACTCGGGCAGGCGAAACGAATGGTGAGGCAGCGACGGCTGAGCATAGCCAAGTGCACCGCGAGCAGCCACAGTCTCCTCCTGACGCCCGCCATCTCGAAGTGGAGGAAAATGGAGGTGCCACGTGGCCTGGCGGACGCGTTCGGTGATCCTTTCGCAGAACGTTTGGACGACAGATCCAAACTTCTGGGGAAGGCTTACCCGACGCAGCCCCAGCCCCAGCCCCAACCACAGTGCCACAATACAGCTACGATCGTGCCACACGAACCCACGCGAACTTCCGCCTTTGGCTCATCCACCATCATGTTGCGCAAACACCTGTCCAACCTGAAGCGCTATGGCATCAACGATGCTCTGGTGGTTTACTGGCTGCGGGAGGCGGCATTCCCGTGGGCGCGCGACACAACTGCTTGTGGCACGAAGAAGGCGGCGGGCTTCATCTACGACGAGACAACGACCATGACCCTGTGGCCCTGCCCCACCAAACAAGAGAAAACTCCCAACGACGCTGGGTCTAAGTAATGGGTTCTGTTCTACATGCCGAATTGGCAATTAAATTTTATACTTTAATACGTGATGCGATTTCAAAATTAATGTTGAGCGTTGAGCAAATTAAATCCATTCAGTTTTTATCAGAGACTTTTGTGTGTGTGTGTGTTTCAGACATGTACATGTGTGCAATTAACATTGGCTTCTCCATCTGGTGCGCTGATGAAATATATTCAAGCAGAAGAGCAGACAAAAGCATGGCCTCTCGGGCAGAGTGAGCAAGCAAGAGAGTGAGCATCGGTATTGCGAAGCGACATGTTCGTTCACGTTTGTTTGTGATCTCTGCACTCATAAATACTCTCACGCACAAACCGTTCTCTCCATCAGAATAGCAAAAGGGGGTCGGGAGAGTGAGCATGAAAGAGAGCGACGCTCAGAATTGCGTGCTGCTTGAGCAATGAACAAAAATGCTCAAACAAGTATGTAAGCAACCTGAGCACCACCGGAATGCCAGCGGGATTAAGGCGCAAACTGTTAATCAATACATTATCTTAAAGCAAAGCTAGTCAAAGCAGAGAAACCATCTCTCAAAGCAAACAAACATTACTGGGGGGATAACAGAGCCAAAGCAAACAAAAAGGATATGCATCTCTCCGGTTGATTGCCGCATTGTATTATTGATGAAATAATGAAATTGCCACCAAACACACAGCAGCACACAGGACATCCTTGAATATACTTCCACAAGTAAGACTCAGACATAGACATTCAGCCAATCCAATGGGGCAGCCACTCTCAATGTCTGTCAGGGTCTTTCGTTATGAATTTTATGCCTCGATAACGAGAGCAATGTCATTAGACGGACAGCAAAACAACAGCAGCAGCAGCAGCAGCAGCAGCAGCAGCAGCAGCAAAACGAGCTTCGAGGTGCTGGCCCTGTCTGGGGCTGGGCCTGGCCTTGTGTTTGATCAGAGAGGTATTTGGTTTTCATTTCGTATTGATTCCGAGTTAGCCATTGCTTTGCTTCCCCCCTTGCCCGACACGTCACCCCACACATTGGCAAAGCACACATTGGCAGATGCCTCATGTGTCCTGCTGTCGTGCTATCCTGCCCCCGGGGCCGGCCATCATCAACAGCCATCCGTTTAAATTATTAACGTATGAGTAATTTTTATGACATATAAACAAAAGTCCTGTTTTGGGGCCACGGCTGACTGGTTCTTGCAGCTCCTTCTGCTGATGCTCCTCCCTCTGTTGCTGCTGCTGCTGCTACTCCTCCCCCTGCTGCTGTTTTAGCTTTTGCTGTGTGTCATGTGTCGTCTCTGGTTGCTGTCTCGTTTTTTGGGTTTCCTATTTCCACAAACAGAGACAGCCAGCAGGCAGGGTGGCAGGCAGGCAGGGAGTGTGTGTCCCCTAGTGGCATGAGGCATGTGCATTTCGGGGAGTGGTTTTTGTGTGTGCGACAAATTACTTTTGTGTGTGTGTGTAATTAAGTCCTGCCTCCCGGACCCCAATCCACCCCACTCCACACCGATATTTGTCAGCAGAATACGAGCCGCAAAATTGATTTCAACTTTAATATTCTTTAATTTAATTCTTTTATAAATTCCGATTTTAATGCAACACTTTTTTTTGCTCTTTTTGCTCTCTTTTCAGGTAAGCAACTCCTTGAAGAACCAAAACTCAATCACTAATCATTGTGCCGGTATGGGACCCCCTCCTGCCTCACCCATTCACAACCGCATAGCTTTCCAGAGGCCAGTCGACCGGTCGAATGCCTTTAATTTGAAAACTTTTTGGGTGGGGGATCCAAAAGCATGAAGTATACGTATAGATCAAGCCAAAAAGTCCACTCTTGGGAGGGGCGAGTGGTTGAGTGGTGGTGCGGGGACGTGGGGCACAAACAATTCGAATACTGCATTCCACGCAGCGCAGCGGTCAAGCGGCGTAGCCGAAAATCAAAGCATATTTCCAGCAACCGCTAAGCTATCCGGCGGAGAGAAGAGAGAGAGAGAGCCCCAGACAGGAGAGAGAGAACACAAAAAGAGAAACCCCTCAACCGGCCACATAGTTTAAGCAAACTTTTCTTCGTTGCAAAAGCATTAAAAAAGGGGTATGGGGGCAGGGGCAAGGGGCAGAGGCTGCGGCTGCGGCTGCCGCCCCACTATTACATTAGAACAGAAAAATAATTGCGAAAACTTCTCTCAGAACTTTTTCAACTTTTTGCTGCGTTCATTCGATGCGAGGGGTTTTTTTTTTGGCCTTTCTGTTCGTGCCACTTGGTGTTCGTCCGTGTTTTTTTTTTCGGGTTGCACGCATTTTTTGAATAGCAGGCTGCCCCCTCCCTGCCCTGCCCTGCCATTTGCCACGCCTCAAAACCCGCTGACGATGCTCATTATACGTACAACTAATAATCATTAATGTGCCGCATTCTGTGATTATTTTTGAGCCAGAGACTGGGCTGCTTGAGCCTCGTCGCCGCCTTGTGGCACACAAATTGCTAAAATTAAAATACTTTTCAAAACTAATTAAAATCGTGTTGCATACTTTCGAGGCTGCCCCGCCAAAGGCTGCCCTGCTGTT